AAAAAATTTTAAAAATGATAATTACTAAAACTTGACAATCAATGAGCTAAATGCTTATGTTATAAATGAAGTGGAAATCAGGATACAGAAAGCATATATTTAGTATAACCACAGTTATGTCAAACAAAAATAAGAAAAAAACCCTATAATCATTCTATATTGTATTAAACTCACAAAAATTCAATAAAAAATTTTAAAAATGATAATTACTAAAACTTGACAATCAATGAGGTAAATGCTTATGTTATAAATGAAGTGGAAATCAGGATACAGAAAGCATATATTTAGTATAACCACAGTTATGTCAAACAAAAAGAAGAAAAAAACCCTATAATCACAAAAAAGTACTAAAAGGAAATAAACCAAAATTTAATAGTGTCTCAAGTTGGGGGGACTGAGAGTGACTTTTTAAACATGTATTTCACATTTCTACAATAAGCATGCATTACAGTCACAAAGGAAAGCAGCAAATGGGTGTTCCTTTGGAATAACCATGACCACAGAAAGGTGTGGTGGTAGAGGTGGGGGAAGGATTCAGTCATGATGGCCTCCAGGTGGCAGTGAGAAATGAACAGGTGTTCTACACCCAAGGACATTCTGGTCCTCTGGGCAAGTCATAGGACACCTCAGGCTGGTGGGGTGGGGAGCGGGCAGCCATGAGCCTAAGTGGGCACTCCATCCCTGCCCAGTGATCCCTCACTGACCTCAGGAACCAGGACAATGTAAGGCTCCTGGATGAACCTGGGTGCCTCGTCGTTGGCATCAGTCACCAGTATCACGACTTTTTCTGCCACCTAAGGAGTAGAGGCATCGAGAGTCAAGGCACAGAGACTTTCTTGAGGGATTAAAATATAGTGGCCTCTAAGAAACAGTATATTTTAAAATGAAATGGAGATCTTTTTTTAAAGGTTAAAAACATTCAATTTTACATCTTACAGGGCTTATACTGAGTTCAATATTGTATAACTGTATTAATTCAACAGCGAACCTAAAAATTTTATAGCCGCT